CCCAGAGTCGGTGGTTTGTTTGAATTCTGAGAAGATGTGAGCTACAATGCTCCAGGAAATCCTTAAGTTTTGTGCCAGGCCTTCGGCCTTGAATTTCCATTCACCAAGATCCTCTGACGCAAACTGGTTCTTTTTGTGAAGGCCATGTACCATAGTTCTTAACAGTAGCATTTGTTATAATAAGACTAGCCTATTAATCATTACCAGGCCGATAATGACTTTTTAAATTAATCAATATAACATTTGTTATGAAGAAACAGCCGCCTGCACATTTAGAACCAATAGCTACAAAATGCCACAGTTGCCACAATAAAAATATATAGGGAAAAATAATAGATCACATATTTGACCATCAGCTTCGCGATAGGAATGGCTCGAGCAAATCTTATCACTCTTCTCGGTACGGTGATCTGTGCGCCGCTTATGAACTGCTCATTGTGCTGAGCTGCTCCGTTCGGTTCGGAAGTAAAATGAGCGCTTATAAAAGTGCTGAAGGCGCGATTCAAATAATAAATTAATAGCCTGATTCTAGGTTTCCATTAACCATGGTATAAATATTGGGGGGGTTGTACTTGCTAGTTTTGGTTATTGGGGGGGGTTATATCCCCACAGTTTTTACTTCACAAGTCTGATGGACTGGAGTGGTGTGGATTATTGTGATGTTTTTATCAGCTGTTTGGACTCTCATTCTGACGGCACCCATTCACTGCAGAGGATCCACTGCTAAGCAAGTGATATAATGCTACATTTCTCCAAATCTGTTCTGAGGAAGGAACAAACTCATCTACTTCTTGGTGAGGGTACATTTTCAGCAAATTTTCATTTTTGGGTGAACTATCCCTTATATGTTAAAGTTCAGGATGCTTCTCACCTGTCTTGTCTTCCCACCTTTGGTTGGTGCTGTCTGTATGGCCTTCATGATCTCAACAGGCCACAATCTACATTCTGCAATCCTGCGTGAAAGACTGAGAAAAATAGGAAGCCGTGATTGGAATACATGAATTTCAGGACACAGGAGTGAGTGCATTGATTAAAAGTGTTGTTTGCTCACCAGGCCACACCTCCCGCATCAATAAAGCAACGATGTGCCGTATCCCAGCTCACTCTTTTCTGGTTACACTCAGCATCTGCTCTGAAATCCTTGTCCTATAACACACAAACAGATCAATGTGGTGACATATTCCTTCCACATCCATCACTGAAGTGTCCATTAATGGCTCAAGTCACCTCTATGTCAGTAAGGTCTCCGTGATCCGTGTCTGTGGGTTCTGCATCAATATAAAGGCCCTGAATGACCTCGGCCCCTGGTGCGAGAAGAGACCCCAAGGGCCATTTTTTGGGTCTTGGCACTGGCTCCTTCTCACCACCCATTTTCAAGACGCCATTGGAGAATAACAAGACTTGCTCTTTCTGTAAAACAATGAATAAACAATGTAAGACTTTTTTATTTTTAGGCGAATTATTATTTTAGACATAAAAATATTTTGCATATATCTAAACATCTGTTATTTTAGACCAACAAATTTAACGCTTTCAATTTTTAAATTTCATTTTTTGACTTTTTTTGGCACTTGCTATATGAACAACTAAAGCAATGTATTAATTGGAAAAAATATGAATAGTATTTTAATAATTTTTAGGGCTATCAAGCGATTAATCGCTTTATATATTTATGTATATATAAATACGTACACATACAGTATATATTTTGAATATATTTACATGTATATATTTATATTCCTATAATTTATATTATATATAAATATATTTCATACATAAACATAACATATTTTTCTTAAATATATACATGCATGTGTGTGTATTTATATATACATAATAAATATACACAGTACACACACACATATACTGTATTATGTAAACAACAACTTTTATTTTGGATGCGATTAATCATTTGATAGCACTAATTGAAACACAATCAGTCAACAGTTTGGAATTCTCAGAATGCATTTATTTGATCAAAAATACAATAAAAAACAAACACTTGTCTCTTACCGTAGCTGAGACGGGCATCTGCAGGGCAGCTATATAGTGGGATGGAGGTGTGGAGGCAGGATTCCAGATGTCGGGAACAGAATACGCCGTCTCCACAGTGACCATCAGCACATTAGAGTCAGAGCGCTGGGCATCAGAGAGCAACGGCTCGGGAACATGCACCGTCACATTGAGTGTGGACTGTGCATAGAAATACAAACAAAATATACAACGTTACCTCATACAAATATTTTTATATAGTACTTATGTAGTGGTGTAAAAATGTGGTTATGAACATTGTCTTTACTTTTACGCCATCCTCATGTACAGCAACGTCTGCCGGTGATCCGGGCACCGCGTGAAGAAGCACGGTGGATGAGAAGCTACACTGACCTAGAATAAAGATATCACCGATATCAAACCTCACGAATATGAGAATCCATAAAAAGTGCTTTCAAATGTGTAAAGTTTGAATCAAATGAGTAAAATGAAATTTTTAACCTCGCAGCAGTGGCAGTAGATCCACGACGGCTTGTCCTAGTACAGTGGTTTTCTCCTCTTTTTGTTTTTTCTCTTTTGGTAAGATCTCGAACACCGTTACTGAGAATACACATTTCTGTTTACATTTAACCATGAACAATTTAACATTTAAAATCAAGTCAACTATACTGTATGTATATATGGATAGATGGAATATTTACCATTTAATTTGTAGCTAAATTTACACACACAAAATGTTTTCTTATTTTTGTATTTTGGATATATTTTCCATTACAAATATCTAAAAATTCTTAATCCAGGATGCATTTGCTTAAAGGTCCCCTGAAGTGCCTTGAAACAGACAGCGTTATTCTATGTGGTGACGTGATTTCAACTGAAACAGGAAGACAGGGCGGGACATATCGAGCATCCCCGCCCCCTTTTTAAAGTAGCCAATAGCGTTTTGTTTATATCTGCACGGGTCAGAGCCATTGAGCTCGGTAAAGCCGCATTTGACAGCCACAGTCTAATAGATTACCCCCTAGAATTAATATGAAACTCTTAGTAAAACAAAATAGTGATCATAATCATGCTGAGGCTGTGTAGTTTTAAAAGTGTTTAATATATGCCGATTCGCGCATATGATCCGCTCCGTGCAATTGCGTCTCTGGACCGGAGCCAAAGTCCGTATCAGACTGTGTGCGCTGCGGCAGTTCAAGTGAAACAACGTGAAACCAGACCTCATTTGCCCCAATCGAAAGCA